CGCTTGCTGCTTGCTGTTCGTTCGGTTCAACTTCAACGAACTGCGGCAAAATGTATTTTGCGCCGGAAGTGCGTCATCTAGCTTACATAAAATTCTTAACCAATAGTAACGAATTGCTGCTGCAGCGTGCTGCGCATGAAAAAGCACCTTTATTAGAGGGTCACTAGCCGCAGCTAACGCCTGCAACGCCCAAAGACATAAGAGAGTCTTTGGCAACGCATTTTTGCATAAAAATTTCACTTTCATAAATTTTTGATTCGGATATTATTTTATTCTTAACTATTGCTGCAATCCCAAAATGGTACAGGACTTTTCGACTCAGTATAGTCTGTTCTACCCACCTGTGAAATATTTGGCGGTTATTCTCGCCCACCCTGTATAAAAGATATATATGAAAAAAACATTTAAAATTGATTTTAAAATATTATATAACAAAAGAGTGAAAAACGGCGAAAAGAAGGAGTGGGGAGGGGGAGGAGTGAAGGAGGGGAGAAGGGGGAGGGGGTGCGATGGGTCGAGATTGGTGGAGGTGTGAGCGTAATTCTTATTATCATTAGGTACACATTGAATAACTTCTATTGCACATAACGCCCTCTAGAGGCACCATTCAAGCGAAATATTGCACAATTGTACCACAGTATATCCAGTAGCGCAACTCTCCTGATTTTATGTCACACAAAATGGAGTGCGCATGCGCGAAATAAGCAAGATGCCCAGTTGCACCACCTAAACTTCTTTCTCACTTCTTCTTATCCGTTCTCTGTCACTCTCTGTCAGGACCATTTAATGGTTCCGTTTAAAGATACTGTGATTAGGTGTGTGCCACTTGCCAGTGTGTGCTTAAAGCTCAAATTTGAAGGAAATTAGTATAATTACCGTCTGTTTGAGCTGTGATAGTTTGAGAAACTCCGAATCTAGTGACCGAAAAGTTTGTGGAAATAAAATATTATTTTAGTTTAAAAATGAATACCTAAATTCTATTTATTTCTAACATTTTAATATTTTTTATAGGAATAAAAAGTATATTTTTGTATATATAAGCATATATGTGTAATAATATTTTAAAATGTGCATAATATTGATAAATATTTGTTTCTTATTGTTGTATTAAGATTAAAATTTTATTTATCCCAATTAATTATTTTTATTCTAGATACATAAAAATTATCTTATTTAATTAAAAAAAAGTTATTATTAAATATTTTTTTATAATTACAATAATTACAGTAATTATTTTCTTAAATGTAATCCGTATAACATTAAATTTTATTTTTTGTTGTTTATATTAATATCTTAAGACTGCGATATATATAATGTATGTTTTCCTGCTGGATTGCTTACGTTTCAGTTAGAAAATCTACGTTCCGTATGATGCAATTCTAATAATTTACAAAAAAGCAAGCAATCTAACAGGAAAAAACGCATTGTATATA